AAAAAAAAATACGTGTTGTGTGAGCGCGTGTATAAAAATAAACTTGAAATTGTGATCTCCATAAATTGTAAGACCGCTGAACGAATTCAATTATACATAGACTGACCGTCGTTGAGGTTGGTTGATATTTTTTTCAGTTGTCTATCTCGTATTCAAGCGAATAGATTGTAGAATTTAGTGATTGGTGTATTTTCCATTTAAAAAGAAACATCGCAAACAAAATGAAGTGCTTTAAAATTTTATTATTTGCTGTGTGCATTCATATTAGTTTGGCAACAAAATTGAAAGAAAGATTTAGCTGGAAAGAAGTTTCATACGCATGGACATCGGATCAACAAAAGACTGAGGCCATCACCGATGGACGATACAAATCCGAAAATAATCTTATTCTTGGATTAGATGTGTGGAAAGATAAATTGTTCATCACCGTTCCAAGGTATTTATTCAAATATATATATAAATGATGTGAAAATTGCAAAAGATTTAAGTGGCAATGCAGTATTTTATACTTTATTTATGCTAATGATATGATTGAAAGTTGAATGAAAGTCAAACAAAAAGATTGACATTATCACCAAAATGTGTCAAAAAATATCTCGTTTTCACTTTGTGTATTTCTGGATTTTTTTTTTAAATAATAATATCTTGAAAATGAAAAGTTTCTAACTAAATTTATTGTTCTTACACAGTGATTTTTTTGTTCTCTCATTGTATCACATCAGAATACATTTTTTTTGTTCTTGTTCGTTATTGCTACAGAATATTCGTTCTTATTGGATGACAGATTTGATTTGTGGCGTTCAATAAAATTGTAATTATAATTAGCGCTTTGATTGATGGAATCACGAATCACAAACACAGCCATTGAGTTATTATTATAATCTTGACAAGTTTAAATTGTGTTTTGCTTTGTTTTCGTGTCGCTATAACAGGTTTGTTTTTATATGTTGACCGATTCTTCGAAGGAGCCGCACATATATTATATTTAAACGTGATTGCCTTTTTTTCCCACATTTCTGTGGTGTTCTTTGTCATCATCATCATTCACGTTTAATTACTATGTATATTTGGTTGTGAGCGAAAAAAAAAACTTGGTTTTCATCTCATGTTGACATTGAACGGTCAACTTTTACTTGTTTCATACCAATAAATTTACTTCACGTTTTTTTTGTCGTTGTTATTGCAGTGGCATCAACATTGTATGTCACAATATGACCGTCGAAGCGATGCCATTTCATAGATTACCAAACAAAGTCGACCGACGATTACTACTGAATCTCATTATTCGTTGTGTTTTTTTGTGCTTCCGAAATTTTATTTCCAATCAAGATTTCAGCAATGTTGTTGACATACAACGCTCATAACCACAGAAAATACTCGAAATTATATGAAAATAAATGCTGTTGAATGTTTCGAATGATTCGAAAACAACTAAAATAGATGGTTTCGTTGAAAATGTACATATACAAAAAGTCTACCTTCTCACCGCATAAAAAAAAATCATTCAAATTAAAACGAAATAAGAATTATCGCAATTTGATTTTTTTTTTCATTTCGTTTGTTTAGATGGAAGTCGGGTGTGGCGTCATCATTAAATTATGTGAATTTATCGAGCACAGAGCAGAGCCCAAGCTTAATTCCATACCCAAGCTGGGAAACCAACACAGTTTTTGCCGATGTATCAAAAGGGCCTGAACGTTTGGGTGGTCGTGCCGATGCTCCCAGTGCTCAAGTTGTAAATGGACAACTTCATGATAATGCATCTATTATTTCAACATTCCGTATTCAAGTTGATGAGTGTGATCGTTTATGGGTTATGGATTGTGGCCTAGCTGATATTTTGGGCGAACCAAAACTGATTGCAAAACCAGCCTTAGTCATTTTCGATTTGAATACGGATACATTGATTCGACGATACACATTCTCCGATAGTGATGTCGTACAAAATTCATTCCTCGCTAATGTGGTATGTGTTCATTCTCTATAAGTATTTAATTAAATAACAGTTTCACATCGTATGCGAATAAAGAAAGCCTCCCACATGAATCAGATCATTTGTAAACGATTCCATTCACATTTCAATAGATTGTCGATGTGCCGAAACAACAATGCGACAATGCTTACGCATATGTTCCGGATCTTGGTGGATACGGTGTTGTCGTCTATTCATTCAAAGAAAATAAATCGTGGCGTGTTAAGCACAATTACTTCCATTTCGATCCATTAGAAGGTGACTTTCTTGTTGGCGGTGTCAATTTCCAATGGACTGATGGTGTGTTTGGCATGGCATTGGGAAAACAAACAAACGAAGGGTATTTTTCTTCTTTTCTTTTCATTCATCTCTCACACTTGATTTTATCTTCTGTTTACGATATTTATCAATATTCATTTGGTTGAAAAAAAAAAACGAAAAAAATTTCAATGGAATTTTATCTTTCAGCACGCGAGATGTATATTTCCATGCATTGGCAAGTACAAAGGAATTCTCTGTGCCAAACTATGTTTTGCAAAACGAAACACGTGCAACGAGCCCACAAAATTATAATGATTTCAAATTGGTTGGCGATCGTGGTGTAAACGGACAATCAACCGCGGAAGCTGTACATGAAAAAACAAATGTTTTATTCTACACGCAAGTGAACAAAGACAGCATTGGTTGCTGGAATATAAACAAGGAATTCAACCTTGACAAACAAGGTCTTGTCGATTCTGATGGCACCGCATTAGTCTTTCCAAATGATTTGAAAATTGATCGAAATGATAATTTGTGGATTTTATCTGATCGTTTGCCCGTATACATGTACAAAAAATTGGACCCGGAACAATATAACTACCGCATTTTGTCTGGCCCAATCAACGAATTAATCTTGGGCACACCGTGCGAATAAACATAACAAAAAATTGCGTACCAATTACCGATCAACACTCACTCAATTCTTCATAATGACTAAACAGTTTTTGTACAATCTTTATTTTGCATCTGTTATGGTTGGTGTTGTTGTTGCGTGAATTCGAACGGAAAACTCAATTTATTATTTTAAGATTGAAATATTTGTGATGCAAAATGTATACAAAATTATTGATTTATGGAATAAACATTGAAATATTTTGATATCAATAGAAGCATAAGAACAGAAAAAAACGTACACAACATAATCCCATTCGCTGCATCTCTCTATTCAGAATCTCTTGGTGAATATTGAAAACGGATAAAACTCCCTTACAATTCGCTCTTCAGAGTATTTGATCCATTGTTTTCGTTTCATATTTGTTGATGTTATTGAAGCTGTGGATGTTTTGTTTTGCTGGTTTTTTTTTGTTATTGTTTTTGTTGCCTGCTGTGTGCATGTGTGTACGAATGTTTTCGGTTTCGGGAGCAGTAAGTGCATATCTCATAATCACGGAAAATTCAATAGCTTTAGAAAATATAACAACATAACGCTTGAGCTTCGTCTCATCTTTCATTTTCTATCTTTCTCGTACATATACATACTATTTCAAGTTTTCGAAACGAGTTGCTCTGAGGTCATAAAATATACTTCAGGCGCACAGCATTTTTAACTCGCTTTTCTATATATGCATTGTATTGGCTTGTAATAGCGATGCAAAAGCTCTGGGAATCCCCTTCTAACATACGACAGAGCAACTGATGATAATAATAAGAGCGAAAAGAACACAAATTCTCGACAATGCACTTGTGTCGATGCATCGATTTTTCTTCTCATTCTATTAGATTCACTTTTTATCTCTTTATCTCTATTTCTTTTTCTATTTATCTTTCGCTCTCTCTCTCTCTCTCTCTCTCTCCGCCTTCTTTACTTGTGTTACACAAATATTTTGTGTGTTGGAATCGATTCAACAAAGCATTTATAGTCTCTGTTTGCTTATGCTTTAGTTTCCAATGAATGATGATGTTAAACACGCAGAAATGTGCTTTTTTTATCAAATTTCCAAGAGGAAATTCCATTTTACTGTTTACATACATGGATTTTCAATTTTTCACATGCATCATTGTCATCATCTCCATCAAATGGTATGTGAACAAAAAAAAACGATGAGAGATGAATACGTTGCACATAGAGACTCAAAATTTCATTTCAACTCTAGTTTTTCATTCAATTATTATGGAAATTTGAAATTTTCTTTTGCCCAAAAATTCGTTAACAACAACGGTAAAATGTACTCGGTGAATATCAATGGAAGTTTATCCAATATTATTTTCAATTTAAACAAACTAAAGAAAATGAAAACACACAGAGCACAAACTAAATGCAAAATCAAAATTCATGAGTCAAATTTAACAGTTTTCAAGTGAAATGCATTTTTGTTTATGTGAGTTTTAATCGTTTTCTTAATTATGTGCAAAAAATGTGTGGCACAATAATTCATTGTTTTGTGTTCGAAGGATGGACAGTGATGCCATGGGAAAATTGGCATATGGATGTGTGTGTACCTGGATGGAAACATGCCATACACATGCTGAACTAATATGCGTACGTGTGATGTTGCATTGTGAAATCAATCTTGCATAAATTACCATGGGATTTTCCTATTCAATCTGTTCTATTTTTACTGGTTTGTGCCATATGTCTATCCGCTGAGATTACTCTCAAATGTGCACAGAACGAGAGAATCGAGAAAAAAATGTTGGCATAAGAGACTGACTGGTGATTCGATATCTATAGCAAAGGCCCTGGATGTATTTCTGGCGTACACACGTATTGTGCACATGAGAAAATCTTAAGGGCAAATTATTATTGGGCGCAACGCAAAGTCCATGCATTTTCCAAAATGTCAATGAACAAAAAAAGAGTATTTGCTCGAAGTGTATAACATACACACATCCACTCATTGATGCGTATGTGTTGATAATGTTTTTTTGGTGAAAGTACATTTTTGGAATGGAAGTAAACAAGGCAGAGACAGAGTTCGAGAGTTGTTACATGTAAAATGTGCTTTCGCTCAGGTTGCATCAGATCTTTGCCCTTGTCGTTGTAGTGGCTTTATAAAATTGAATATTCGACCTCGGGTGGTTTGGTCGTTTAATCAACCCACAAATATCCTTCATGGTACTTTGCTAACATATGCACGTGAATTTTATTCAGTTTTGTTGTATCGTCTTTGATCTCTCGGAGGTATCGTGCGCTCATCACAGCAGCCGTGAGACATTGAATTTGGGTTTCGATTCATCGTAGTGTGGTTCCGGTGTGTTTTACATACAAATTTCAAATTTATACCTCATTCATTTTCTGAAATACCTTCTCTCGCTCTTCCATTCTCTCCATATCTTTCTCTCTGTCTTATTACATTAATCGGATAAACCAAATTAATTTGATAACTTGATAAAAGGGAAACTAACTTTGATAAAGGATAAATAAAGAGAAAAATTATTCTGTTCATTTTGCATATTGTGAATGTGTGTCAACCATGTACGCCCATTTATTGTTCTTAATTGATTTAGGCTACTCAAGTTGTCGGTTAATCATTTTTGTGACAAAAGACGTATGCATGTATAATATTGTGCGGTCGATGATCCAGCCACATATAATATTGAATCGAATTTAGTGTTTGGTTTGCTAAAGTTTCAACTTGATTCAAACCAAAATAATTCATTCATCAACTTTTGTCACTTCAATGTGTGTCGGTCATAAATAACTTGAAAATAGATTGCCTTTTATCCGATTCACATTTTGGGTTTTGAAATGTTTTGACACACGAGATAGACGATGGACATGGACATCAAATGCGTGAAAGTGGATGCATGTTTTATGTGTGTTGCTTTTAATTGATTGATTTGGAGCGGATGGAGACAGGACGATTTAATTTGCATAAGATGCTAAAATAGTTGAAGTTGGCTCTCTTTTGCCTTACATTCGGTGAAATAATTTTCAAAGCGTTTGGCAAAATCCATGTTTTTCCAACAATTCGATTTATTGCATCACTACAATCAACTAATTGATTTATTCGGATGCATTAAAATTCAGAATCTCAAGCTGTAAAGCAAATATATCAAGAACAGATTCTATAAACGTGCGAAATGTTAACGGTCAATGTGTCTGTGTGCGTGTGCGTGGGATGAAAGAGTGTGTAACACATAGTGTTCGTCTGAATCTGGTTGCTGGAAAAGCATCCGAAATTGTGCTGACTCAATTCGTAGAAACCACATCGATCTTCCAAGCTGTGTGGTTTGCACAGTAACTTTGTGCAAATGACATTGGTGAACAGCCATTCATGCGATATCGCACTCATCCATTCTCGCATTTGAGATTTTCAATATTGGCTTTTCGTAACAACCACTTAGTTCTGTCATTCATTCTATCTTCTCCTGATGTTGAATATTGCACTGTTCCAGAAGCAATGCATATAATGCGTGCGTCTTCATATATAAATTGTAAAATGAAGCGGATCGTTGGCGAGAGAAGGAGCTTTTGAGACAACTCACTCAATTTGAATTAATTAGCGTCTTTGCGTTTAGATCTTGATTGATATACTGTGTGGCATTGACAAAATTGTCGTACCATTTCAATACATAGAGATAAAATCCAATGGCATTTGATAAGACATTTTTATTTGCTTACTCAAGCAAACAGCCATTCTATTCTCAATATCATTCACTCACTCCTGCTGTGTCGCATTGACCAACTGACGCAAATTCCAATGAATTCGCAGACAGAGAGACACACACATATATTGATTATAGAGCACACTTCATCTCTATTACGAAATCAAGTGTTACGGTTCACTCTCACCTTTCAATAAAAAGATGCAAGAGGCTTATGACACTGGACTTAAGATTTCAATATAACGACAACATTTCTTTTAAATAACAATATATCTGACAGATTGACCGATTTTTTGTACATTTTCATCTCTTTCGGTTCTTCAATCAAGTTTCAACTTTTTTTTCAGTTACTTTTCAATTTTAATTGGCAAAAAATCAGTCTTCTTTTCACTGAATCATTCCAGCTGGCCTTTTTTGACAATTTTCTCCGACTTGAGTAGCACATGTCAATTTCGTCGACCTAAAATCCTTTGAGGGATTTGTGATACTTTCTTCTTCACACCGACGATGTTCACGGTACGATTCTGACATTTTGTCTGTGCTCATCTTCGGTTATGAAAATTGAGAGATGCACAGTCAGAGGTGGTTGGAATACTTTACGTCACCGTAAGTGATTCGCATTCCGTTTATCTATGTACGTATGTACATGCATCTCTAATATATTCACCGCTCCTATGGGTCTAACGCCGTTGTGTGTCTAAGCAGCCGAATATATCCACTTGTTTTTTTATTCTATTCTTCATATGTGTGCCCATCCAAATTGCATGATGAAGCTAAAAGAAAGTACTTAACATCGATCCTTAACATTCCGGTCTGTCTATTCGGTTGCCATTTCAACTAAATCTAATGGCCTCTACTTAAGATTCTTAACTGAAAGCGAATTGGGTTATTTCCGAATAATGCGATGCGCTCATGTGTGTATGTGTGAGTGTGTCTTTTTTTTACTTCTGATGTTACTGTTGTCGATTTCGCTCGCTCACACAGGATACCAGGCAATGTGCTTGTGCATGTTCTTTTGATGGTTTTACGTATTTCATCGTTTGAGATTATCAACCCCGAAATTCGGAAATTCGAAGCTTCAAATCGAACGCAACATTGTGTGGTGATGTGCGCTGTGTGCTCTCCATTCATACGGCTTTGCATACATTGTGCAAGTGTGCGATGGAATTGTATTTAATAGCGAACCATGAAGTCGGTTATGCTTCGAACTTTGGTATTTATCAAACAAAATCTTAATAGAAAACGACACAGACGACATACTTTTATACGCTCAGTGACTGTACAAGTATACAAAAAAGTGCGCACTCGCACATACTATAAGTGATCCACTTCATCGAGATGCTTGTTTTCGTTATTGAAACATATCCG